GTGTGTCTGTTGTTGACCACACGGAGAGTAGCAGAGATTTTTTTTTTTTTGTTACCCGAACAGTTGGTCGCACAGGTGCGACCAAATATTTATTTTTAGTCGCACCACTGAAAAATTTGGTCGACAAATTGGCACTACAAATTGGTCGCATTCTAGAGCCCTGGGCCCATGTGTTTTCTTCTGCTCATGTTTCTTTAGCTTATCAATCTGGTTTGAGTGTTTAATGTCTTTTCCCATGGGCTAATTTAGAAAATGGCAGAAATCACAGTGAGTCATTTATCAAGAGAGACATGTAGCATATCGTGTTGGTGTAACTGTGTAAAGAGCACAGAAAGAGCACAGAAACATGGTCATTAAACATAAAAATGAGAACCTTCAGTGGCTCTGTGAGGCTGTACCTCTTTGATCTGTTAACATTAGCATGCTAGCATTTGAAAAGCAGACAATATAAAAGATGGATGTGGCTATTGTGATGTCGCTCACTGGTTTCTGAAGTCCCAATTTGAAGCCTTGAGCTAAACATTACTTCCCTCTTGGTTGCAATAAATGTTAGAAGATGTAAGAGTTTATTTCCAGATTGACAACAGGAGGAGGTTAGTCTTTGGTTGATTGGTGAGGGAGGAAAACTGTGAGAAGTGTTGTGGAGCAGGATGTAATGGAATGTACTCGGATAGCAACAAACGTTTGCAAACTTCTTTGGGCCACAACAAGTTGTGAATGACGGCATTGGCTCATCGGGTAAGTCTGACTGCCTTTCGTCACAGGGTTACCTTTGGTGGGTCGCATGCAGGTACTGTTGCAGGTATGTTGTAGCTTTTGGGCCACATTACACTTCCTGTAGCCTATGTTAGGTCCCTTCAAGAACTTTGGCTCATATGAGTTTACCATTACTGTACAGTAATCAAGCTGTGTGTTCTGGAAGTAGCCCTAATTAGGTCAAGATGTGTCTGCTATTGAGACAAGTGACAAACTCATTTCATTAGCAGACAGGAGCTGATGTACAGCTAAAGTTGATGAGTTTAGAGGATCGAGGTGCGGCATCCACACGAGCTCCAGAGTGAGAAACGTGGCATGCAGGGACAGTTAAGCACAGGGATTATATCACGTAGGGAGCCATGACAGATTTATGATATGTACCTCTCATTCAAATTGCATCTCATGGCATCAACAAACTAATAAAACTCACTAATGAATTTATGCCGAAGACATTTTTGAACGATAACAAGAAATGATGAAATAGCGAAACAAAATACCTGTAACACAATGGCAGATT